AAACAATTCCAACGTGGGGGCTGAACCTAATAGCATGTCGACAGGACTAGGTCTATAAAAGTTTGGATCAGCTAATTTAATATTCGATGGCAAGGTAATATTATCTCGTGGAATCGGTTGAGTTGGTATAAGCCCGGCAATTACAGGAATTGTCAAACATTGAACATTTGTTTCGTATTTTTTGTTAACTGATTGGATTGTGGCGGTGATGAGATGCTTACTGCAAGTTAATAAATCATTCAGCGCATCAACTGGTACTGAATATTTAATTTTTGGTATTCTTAACCTTTTCGCTAGCTCTTCAGTGATGAAATTTGCTGTTGACGCGGTATCTAACAAAACCCTGCATTTTACTGGTTTCTTGTTTAGATCGAGAACATTTATGATGGCACTGAGAATTATTTGGTCGCTGGGAGGGTGCGTGATAAGTGTGGATTGTTTTAAAGGTGAGACATTCGTTTGTTGATAGTGATGTCTCAATAGGCTGTGACTGTTCTGACATACCTTTTTTTGTTGATGACGGTTTTTCGGCGAGGAGTGCATGATGCAGCGATGTATTATGTCGTTCTTCGCAGAGACGGCAATTTTTTTGCGAGTAGCAGTCATCTAGCTGGTGGTTGTTGCGTAGACAATTGATGCAGTATGATTGTTCACGTACAATTTTCAATCGTTTGGCGGCTGGCATGTTTCTGAATTCTGCGCATAAGAAGAGTGGATGTGCCTCTTTCTTGCAATAAGAGCAGGTTGAATGGGTGTTCGTGACGAAGGCCTGGGCGTGCGTGCGTTTCTCGTTCCTCTTCAAGTTGTAATAATTGTTGTTTGATGAAAATTTGTTAGAATCTCGCTGGCGGTTCATTTCTGTCGAGGCCTTGTTGGTGTTGCGGATTGCGAGACGATTTGCTCTTCGTGATAAAAAATTGAGAAAATCATCGAGTGATGGAAACGTGCCTTTGTTGATTGTCTCGTCCCAGTCATCAGCAGTGGAACGGTGAAGTTTGTTTTCCAGAATTGTAACGATGATTTCTTCTGTTAGTTCGATTCCCATCATCTTCAACATTTCATAGTGTTGGCGTGTGTCATCAACAAGTTGTGAGAGACCTTTGGCAGTTTCGTGGTCTTGCTTTGGTAAATCCAGTAATAAATTGAGATGTCTGGAGATTATGAGCCGCTTGTCGGAGTAGGTTTCATCCAACAATTTCCAAGCCCGAGTATAATTCTCAGTAGTTACTGGTAGCATTTTTATTTTATCGAATGCTGGCCCGGTCAACGCAGAGCGGAGGTATGAAAGCTTGTCAACGTCACTGATGTCATCTTGATTGTGGATCATTGAACCGAATTCTCCCTTGAATGTTAACCACTTCTCGTAAGATCCATCAAAATTAGGCAGAGTAGATTGAGGAAGTTTTAACCGTCTTCTGGATGCAGAGATGTTCGTTTGAAGGTGTGTCAGATCTGATGGTGACCGTGACATTTCATTTTCCGCTCGTACTGTCGCCTTCATTTTCTCATACTTGGCTGTGTTATCATAATAGTCGTTCTCTATCTGATATTTTTTAAGCATGTATTGATCATAGTAATTATTTTCGGTATCGAGCTCTTTTAACTCCTCTATCAAATTTTCAAAGTTTGCAAATGAATCATGATATTTCTTCATTTTGTCGTCAATTTTGTCTGGTTCTGGCACTGCATGATCATAAATAGCCAAGAATTTTTTAATTGCTATATTCTCAGCTTGTAGTCTGTCCATTCGCACGACTATACTTTTTATTTTCTCCAGCCTATCTGCTTCGAGTTCTTCAATGTTTGATTGTGACATTTTTTACTTCACTTCACTTCACTGCGAGTCACCTTATTGTTCTCTCGGCACTTATCACTAATTCTTCGATTAAATTTTTTTTTTTTTTTTATCACTCACTTTTCACTCATCACTAATTGTTCAATGAAAATATTTTCAATGTCTTTTGCTACGGTTTTCTTTCATTTATTTATTCGTTTTCCTATTTTTTTTGTTAATCCGGCTCGAAGGACCATAAATATGTATCGACTCTATTATATTAATCGATACTTCCGAGCTAATAATTAAATTCACTCGAATAACTCACGACTTTTATTTTTTAAAATATGTTTATTTAGATGATATGAGTATATATGTTTACAAGATTTTTTTTTTTTTGTTCTGGTTGTTTTGTTAAGAAAAATTTAAAATGACTATCGAATGTCTCAATCAATTTTTCGCGCTAACTCTTATTAGATTATTCCTTCACGAAAGTTGGAATAGAAGTGAAATCTGCGTGAAGAACTATCTCAATTGGGGTGGTGAAAATTGACGAAGGTTTCGAAGAGGTCAAAAGAGTGAGTGGTAGGGAGTGAGGTCTTAGGATTGATGAGTTGTGAATTTTGAAGGTCGTGATTGGTTGGTGACGATTTCTTGACCTGAGCAATACGTATAGTGGGAGTGTCCGCGTGGAGTGAATGGAGAGTTCTATTTTGTGATGACGTCGAAGGGAAACAGAGGGTAACGCGACTGAAAGTTCATCTGGAAGGGATTAAGTCATAAACGTCTTATGGACAAGAAGTGTGAAGTGCAGTTAGGGACTGTGTCATAAATTGACTGAAATTAATTTTCTGTTGAAAGTCTTGTCTAGGGTTCTTGGGAAAATACGTCAGTCGCGACGAAACACATTAAGTCGTAGGATTTTCAGGATTATTTCTTTTGGACAAACATTTTACGGTCGTTGAAAGTTTTTGTGAAAGATAGGAAATTTCAAAATTTCGAGAAACAGTTT